AATGCTTAACTTAGAAGAGACTTATAGTCTCTTCCTCAGGAACAACTCAGAAAAGATGAGTATTGAGGAAGAAAACTTTCAGAAGAGAAAGTTGCCTGTGGTAAGTTCAGTTGAAGTAAAAAAAATTCAGTCACAATGGATAAAAGGAGGAGGAAGATGATGATTGTGGGTCCCATACTGGAAGCATTCCAGCAGTATGTCAGTGCCAGAAAAACCTGAACAGAGACCTTCACTTCCACCTTCTAAACAAGCTAAAAAGAATCTAATTTTGAAGGCTATATCTGAAGCTCAGGAATCTGTAACAAAAACAACTAACTATTCTACAGTCTCACAGAAACAGACACTTCCAGTTGCTCCCAGAACTTGAACTCAAGAAGAATTGCTAGCAGAAATGGTCCAGGGACAAGGCAGAGTCCCCAGAATAAGTTCTCCCATTAAAGAAGAGGAAGCAAAAGGAGATAATACAGACAAAAGTCAAGGAACTCAACAGAGGCAGTTGTTATCCCGATTGCAAATTGACCCTGTAATGGCAGAGACTCTGCAGATCAGTCAAGATTACCATGACATGGAACCCATGGTCCATGCAGACACAAGGTCATTTATTCTGCAGAAGCCTAAGCTACCTGAGGAACTAGTAGTGGCACCAAACCAGGAGTTGGGGATGAAGACTGCAGACACCCTTCGGGCATCTTCAGGATGCGTTATGCAGACGCGAGATCTTGTACAACCAGATAAACCTGCGAGTCCCGAGTTTATAGTGACGCTGGATGGTGTCCCCAGCACCCCTCCCCCCAGGATACATGTCAGATCAAGAGCAGGACATGTGCTTTTAAGCAATGAGACCCGCACACCACCCTGCAGCTGCATATGAGGGACCTGTGGGTCTCCTCCACCCACAGCAGTTACACTTGCTAAGCAGGCAGCTTGAGGACCCAGAGCTTTCAAACGCTGAGATGAGTGAACTGAGTCTGGCACAGAAACCGGGAAAGCTCTTGGAGCATTGCAAGTACTGACCTGCCTGCAAAAACAGGGACGATGTTGCCTTGCAGCGCCTTTCCCAATTGTAAATTTGCTGAGAAGTGTCTGTTCATCCAAATTGTAAATATGATGCAAAATGTACTAAACCAGACTGTCCCTTCACTCACGTGAGCCAAATAACCCCAGGACTGCCTCCAAAACCCGTCAGAACACCAGTACCACCTTCCAGTAGTCAGCTCTGCCATTACTTCCCAGCTTGTAAGAAAATGGAATGTCCCTTCTACCATCCGAAACACTGTAGATTTAACACTCAGTGTACACGACCTGACTGTACGTTTTATCGTCCCACCATTACTGTACCACCACGACATGCCTTGAAATGGATTCAACCTCAGACCAGTGAATGACACCCAGTCCTACCTGACAGAAGACTGTGGAGTTTGAAAGTTTCCATCTACTGATGAAAGACATTGTACAGAATTTGTCAAATCTTTGAAACTTGGAATATACTGCTTTCATAATATGAAGTTTATTGCCTATCTGAAGTGTCTAATTTTTCAAGTTTCTAAGCTTATTAAGTCATTTTAACATTGGGTCTTTTTTGTTGTTTTGTTTTGACTATGGAAAGACAATTTAAGGAAAAGCTGAATTCTATTAATACATTTGAGGCATGTTTATTAAAAAAATTGATCCAATTGACATATACACCCTACTGTATATAAGATAGATAATAAGAACCTCCTGCATAGCACAGGGAACTCTATTCAATGAGCTATAATAGCCTATATAAGAAAAGGATCTAAAACAGAGTGGATATATGTATAGTATGTCCCCTACAAATGAACGAGTTTTACTTTGAGAATGCATTCATAAGTCCAACAAGTTAGCCTAAGTACCCAACTAACAAAATCAGCTATATAATACAGTACTGTAATAGGTTTATGTTACTTTTCACACAAATAATACACTAAAAAAAACCACACAAAAAAAGAAAACATTTTTAATGTTACAGTGCAGTACTTTGAAAATACAGCAGCTGGCATACTGGGGCTGGCATCAAGTGAACAGGAAAGAGTTACTGACTGGTAGAGGGAGAAGTGGGAGATGAAAGAGCTGAAGGATGGTCAGCAACTGGAGCCAGAGGACGAGCTGCAATTGCACGCACGCCTGACGCTGATGGCACAGGTCCTGGTTCCTTGCTGGACTCAATTCTATCCACCCTCTGGAGAAAACAACCCAATGATGTCTGGGTAGTAGCTCTTTTTCTCTTGCCATAGATGACATGGTAGCATGGATTGATTTCTGAACGGCTGCTGAGAACTTTGTGTACCATTCTACGTTCAGGTTCCGTGCCTCAAAAACAGTACCTCCTCAAATAAAGAAAATCCCCTTGCCATTTCCCGTGTCATCAATCTCTTGGGTTCTTCAGTTACTTCCTTTTCTCTGGACCCCAATCCATTACTAATGGGTCTTCATTAGCAAGCGTGTGTTTCACAACAAGGAGTTCAGTGAAGTTGCCCCCTTGCAGATCTAGATCCAATTTCTTGCTGAGGGACCACTAATTTGCTGAAGATCTATTTGGACTCCTCATCCACCTTCTCAAACCCAGGGAAATCATGCACACACAGCCAGCAAAGGTACTTCCAAACCATTCATGCTGATAGCTGTAACCTCACACACACCAAGCAAAGTCAGTTTTTTATGTCTTGTAGATGTGACAGTCCTTCCAAAACTGTCCCAAAGTTGTTCCTGATTCACTGCCTGATGAAAAGTGTGACATAAACATTTCTTCAAAGTTGCTGTAACCCCCTGGCCCATAGACTGGATGAGCAAAGTAGTGTTGGGTGGCAGATGCACTACTTTGACATTGGGGTGAAAATCGCCCACAAATGGGAGGTGGCCTGGAGCAATGTTGTGTAGCAAAAGAAAAAAGAGTGGGACATCCTTCTCCAAGCAACATTTCTCTACCTTTGGGATTAAATGGTGTTAAAGGCCACCTGGAAAACGGCCTGTGTAACCTAGGCTTTGGCATTACTCTTCCACATAACAGGAAGAGGGCCTTTGGCTATGGTTTTAAGGGTTCTTGCGTTCTCTGAATAATGAACTAAGACAGGCTTCAGCTTCATATGCCCAGAAGCAGCCACCCGACTCAGCCTATCCTTTTCTACTTTATTGCTGGGCAGCAGCTTTCCCTCCTTCCTGATATCAACTTTGGCCTGCCACCCTCTTCCAGTACAGTCCTGTCTCGTCCACATTAAATATCTGCTTGCTTAAATGTGCACCTTCAGCAATAATTCCCCAGTGTTTCAGGAAGTTTCCAGGCAGCTACCATATCTGCAGCTGCTGCCTCACCACTCGCTTTTACATTGTGAAGGTTGGCCCCAGTCTTGAACCAATTATGTTTCTTCTTCAAGTCTTCATAAGGGCTTTTAGCTTTCTCTTGAATCAGCATTAAGCTGAGCAGGACTTGACGCTGATGCTGATCCTGTTTCTCCATCTCCTCTATCACTTTCCCACATTTCTTTGATATTATTGCAAACATTATTGGCACAGACTTCATGTTTCATGATCCCACCCTTGTTCTTGAGAATTGTGCCAGTGGTTGAACAGTTTATGTCGTAACAATGAGTGACGTCTACCATCTTTTCGCCTCCCTCTGATTTTCACTTTTCTTTCTTTCCATCATTATCATTTGGCGCTTCACAGAAGAACCAGCTACTTTTACCGCTTGCTTCCACACATCCTGGGCTTGAAATAATATACTACTGTACTCTATACAGTGCTATACATACACAAAAGCACCACTTGTACAAGATGCACACACATGGCAGTGTATGCCAGACACATGAACTAAGTTATGTAACTGGACATGTGAACGCACGTTTACATTGTTGAGTTTGCAGCTTGAAGGTTCACATGTTGAGGACTTACCGTATAACTTGATTCACCTTGCTGTACGCCTGAAACTACACTGTAAATCAACTGTACTCCAATTTCTAAAAAAAGAATTATCAGATGGGAGGAGAGCAGTGAGGTAGGAGATAAAGGGCAAGTGCTGGAGAAATGTTTGCAAGTAGATCTCTAGCTCTGTCTCCTCCAATTTACCACAGAACCTTCCCAACAATCTAAAACACGTATCTAGTGATGTTCAATTCTCATGTTTAAAATCCTTTTAATAGCTCTCCACTACCTTCCGCGTAAAATTACAACTTGACCTGGCATATTCTGTATTTTTAAAAAACAATTGGAGCAAGTGATGGGCTCCCTTCATAATAACATGGAGCAACTGAGTTTTGATAAAAGGGATTCTTCAGCTATAACTGGAGAGAAAGGTTAGGTGTAAAAGCAGATAGATTTATAGATTTGATGGTGGGAAGAGTTCCATCTTGTGATGGTTCCTCAATGAAAGGCCAAGTGAGATGGAGAGGGGAGAGAATGTGTTAAACAGTCATGTCAGAGGAGTGACATGCAGTGACACATGTTGCCTACTTCTCAACTCCTAAAGCTCCCTGATTGGTTCACATTTCTGAGATTTTAATTTTCATGATTCCTCTCTGGAAAATTCCTGTTTTTCCAGATTTTCCAGAAAGGAATATCAAAATTAAAATCTCTGAAATGTGAAACTAGGTAGCTAGTCATGAAGTCATGAAGTAACATGAAGTTACTTAACATGAAGTCATGTTACTCCTCTGAGATTACCGTACAGTATATTCACAGCTGGTACCTACCTCACTTTCATTATTATAACACACTGATGTTTGCATTTGCTTTCCCTAATAGACTAAGCTTCTCTGAAAGCTTGGCCTGTACTCCTAGTGTGGGGCCCATGCAGGATCACATTTAATGGTAAACATTAATTAATGTTTAACATAAACAGACTTTTTGTTGGTAGAATCCACAACTAGGAGAATTAGAGGAATGTGAAAGTGTCAAGGGTGAACCAGTCTCTAGAATAAACCAGCTTGTGATAACTGTGTCCTTTTTAAAATGGCACTGCAGTATGGACACACCACAACAAGGGCTTTCATTTAATCCTTTTGTTTTATTCAAATGCCAAAACAAGTTTCAAGATACAAATCGTAGTTGTGTTTAATTTAAAAACATCAATTATGCTTTGTTAACAACTTTCAAAACCAAATGTAAGCTGCTATGACTGAAACGTCTCCCAGTCATTTCTGGAGGACTACCTTTAATACATTTAGTAGCTACTCCAATTTCCACTCTACAAAGAGGAAAACGATGAGCCTGTAAGAAAAAGATAATGAACAGTTATGATATGAAACCCTTCCTGAGAAGAACGTTAACCATTACTAGAGAGACCAAGGATACCAGTTTCTGTTCCATACTATTGCAACCAGGCTTAAACACTTTGCAGAAGTGCATTTCTGGTCCTACCCCAGCCATAAATAGATATCTCTTATTATATAATAGAAAACCCAACTCCATCAACAAGATTTAGAACTTGCTAGTAGTTTAAGGTTCTTTCCCTAAGAAAAGGGGTAGGGTGCAGTTAAAAGGAAAACTCAAGAGTTTATAAACCAAAAATTGAAAACAAATGTTTAAGGTACTCTGATTTAAACAATTTCCAGTAAGGCTGAACTGAAGGAACAGTATAGAAACTTGTATCAATACAGCGGGAAAGAAAAAAATTTTAAAGGTATCCAAGTATTTTAATATTTATGGCATCAAATGAAATAATTTTCATTAAGCCCCCCAAACTTCCCCCACTGTTTTTATATAATGAAAGTTAATAACTTATATTTTAGTATGAACACATTCACTTCTGCTGATAGTAAAGCATAGATTTTCTTTAATGTTTCATGAAGCCAAAGAATTAGACAAATATTCAGCACCAGAAGACAAAAAACTAGTATTTTAGATAAGTGTACCATATTAGGATATTTTATTTAGTTCAGCACATGGGCTGTTATGACTGATGCTGCATGCTACTTTTAGAATTAGATGTAGTCTTTTTCTAAAGATTTAAGGCAGACTTTTAATTTCATCTGCTCACTCATGGTACTAAAATGGATCAAAGACAGCAAGTAAATCAGCCAAGTTAGCAGGAGAATGGTCTTTCCTTATAGTACCAACGGGAAGTCACTGTCAAGCGTCAGTGGACAAGACTAAGAACACAGCTAAACAAATCATCAAAGCGTGGCTCTTCAGGGCACTTTTTCCATGACATCTTTAACAACTTGGAAACTCCTGTTCCAATTTTTAAGATGAATAAAATTCTAACATTTTTCAGTAAACAAACATGAGTAGACAAAGTTAAGCTAAAGAATGGAATCCCAACTTCAATTTTAAAGAATTTATTTTCCCATTTGTAGAGTAACATTATTGTAAAATCCACAGTTATTGCAACATCTGCATTGCTTAAAAGAACTCCTAAGATTTTTTTTTTAAGTATATTTTTTAAAAACCGAAACAAAATAATGTACATATTCTCTCGGAACATTGTGTCATTAAAGTCCAGGTAATGTCAGTCTGTATAAATCAATGTGATGTTACATAATATACATGATCTGATTTTTATCCTAAAAACTTCTGACCATGTATATGATATCCAAGATAGATCCAATGCTTTCAATGTCAGACTGCAGAGACAGTTATGATCCTAAACAAAAGAAGGACAACTTTATATACACAACAGAAGTCTGACAGTTTAGCTGTTTGCAGCATCTGCTTGACGAGGCCATCCTTCTTCTTCAACTCCAGAGTCATACTCCTCTTCAGAGGATTCTTTGGTTGGAGCCCTATAATGAAAAGTTATCAGTGTTTTTCTGTTTTTAGTAAGAATTAGGGGTAAATACAACTTCTCAAAAAATAAATATTAATCCACCTAGCTAGAAAAGCTGCACAAAGAAAGAAAATATAAGAGCACTTCTAATATTAAGACTGCTTAGTGGTAAAATATGAGAAACATTTCGAGCATACAACCAAAAACTATAAGTAATTTCCCAAACAATTTTTTTTAACTGAAACAAATCAACAACCAGGCTTCAACAGTGAAGGTCTTTTCTCCAGCAAAAGTAGTAGAATCTATTAACTAAAATAACTTGAAATTTAGTATATGTCAATGGAAAGAAGTTGAAAGCTTCTGATCAAACCAATATGACTCAAATTAGCCAAAATTATGATTAGATCACGGTTCTTTTGTATACTAACAGTAAACAATAAAATGAGAGACTATACCTCTTTGAGGTAAAGGTTGTTCAAAACCAATCAACTGCCTCATAAGTTACCTTAGAAGATAAGCATAAAATGTAACATACCTTGTGACAGAAGCCTATTTTTTGTGGAGGTAACGCTCATATCAAGCACTGTTTAATAAATACTTATTGAATAGACTGGGGTCAGTAAACTACAGCCTGAAGGCCAAATAAAGTCTGTCATTTGTAAATATTTGTAAATATTTATTTGAACACAGACATGGATCATTCATCTATGGACTGGAACTATCATGCTGTAAGGGCAGAGTAGCTACAATACAAACTGTACGGCCCTGAAGTGTTAAACAGCCCTGTATTGTACAGTTTACTGACCCCTAGAATAATTAAACAAAAGTAGTGAAATATATGTCAAATTTGTCAACTGATAAGACACAACTAAGAGGAAAATTATGTCAACAAAGTTTTGGTCTTATGAAAGACATGAAACAAGTAATAAATAATTACAGAATTAGAAGCAAAGTTCATTTAAATCTTTTCATTTAGATTACTTTATGTCTTTTTTGATACTTCTTTTAGGAGAAAAAAGTGGAGGCTAGTTTTGAAGATCAATTTCCAAGAAGACGCAAAGTATCATTTTATAAACCAAAATTAGAAAATTTTTCTACAGAATATTTGAGATAACTGATTCCTTTATGAATATAAAGATTTTCACACAACTGTATGACAGACCAATAAACCACAGCAATAAAGAATGATATTAAGTTTTAGACCTGTCTAGTTTAACAATACACTTTACCGGATGTATCCTGGTTCCTTCTTTCCTTCTACTACTTCTTTGTCAACCTCCACACATACAATATCAGAATTAGGGACTTCGAACATTGGTTCTAGTAACAGCTTTTCCTAAAGAGTAAAAAAGTAATGAATTACATGGAAAACTGAGGTTACATACAAAATACTTGTATTCTAGAGGTTATCAATCAAATTCACCAACTCAACAAATATTATGGAACTGAATTTTGAAAAGTCAATGTAAAAGCTTTCATATTCTTCATATTAAAACCGCTTCTAACTAAATTCGGACTGAAGTCATTCTATAAGGGAAAGCTTCTTGTCTGAAGTTCTGCGTACTTAGGTCACCGTGCACCTACAAAGACTGTACTTTCATTTTGCATGTGATCAGATGCTACTCAAGAAGCATTTCTGACATACTTTATCACCAAAGGAGGTCAACTGGTAGTCCTTAATTCGAAAATGACTTAATCTTAAATCATCTATACCAAGCTATGACTTCAAATATGCATTTGTCTCAACTGCTACAGTAGATCTAAAGTAATTTACTAAAGAAAACTAATTTTACCTATGCGTAGCAGCTGGATTATGTGCCATCTTAAGGAAAATACTGGTTGAATACACCAAATTTTCTAAAAATGTCAACTATATTACCTTTTCTTCTAGTTTACATGTTTATAAATCTGTCACAGCACCTGAAGTTGACGCCTTCATTAAAAGTATTACCTCAAATTGTGACAGATGTGTAGTTCTGTTAAAAAAGTCCTACTTAGATGAGAGAAGTAACACTCAGCAGTGAAATCTTCAGAGAACAGACCATGTGCTTGCGTTTGCGGCATGTAGGGAAACAGTAACCCACTGTACAGCCACACCAGGGACGGGAAAGACCTTTAAGAAAGAGGGTGGCTAAAAAGTAGGATAGGTCTCCAGGACTTGTAACAAAATTAAAATAGTGAGCTCATACTATACTGAAGAATTTAGAAATAAAATGTTATAATACCTACAACTTAATTTCAAACATAAAACAACAATGAGAATTTCAATGGTTCTTGAGGGGCCCACTCTGGAGCTTAGTCAAAACGCCTGTGTAGGGTTTTCTAAAAACCTCCTTCCCGTGATCCTGATTTCCTCTATTTCGTTAATCACATTCAGTGTACATCCTTTGCTGCAAATACCTTGAAGTCCCATTTTAGAAAGAAGAAATGGGACTTCCCTGGCAACCCAGTGCTTTCACTGGAAGGGTTCAAACCCTGATTGGGAAACAAAGTTTCACATGCTGCACAGTGTGGTCAAAATATACAAGGAAAAAAAAAATAAAAAAAAAAATATATACAAGGNTATTTCGTTAATCACATTCAGTGTACATCCTTTGCTGCAAATACCTTGAAGTCCCATTTTAGAAAGAAGAAATGGGACTTCCCTGGCAACCCAGTGCTTTCACTGGAAGGGTTCAAACCCTGATTGGGAAACAAAGTTTCACATGCTGCACAGTGTGGTCAAAATATACAAGGAAAAAAAAAATAAAAAAAAAAATATATACAAGGAAAAAAAAAAATCACAAAAAATGTTAGACCAAATTTCTGGATATATTTCCAAAGGAAAAACATGGAGGTTTAATATTCTCAAAATTCAGACCAAGAAATAATCTAGTTTTTGTAAATTTAGGCCAACTTACCATAATGGACCGGAGGCCTCGTGCACCTGTTTTTCGTTCTAGTGCCAATCTGGCTATAGCTTTTAAAGCATCTTCAGTAACATTCAGTTCACACTACAAATACATTCAAAAGAAAGAACTCACATAATATTTGATGATGATATTTTCCTAATAAAATCATGCAGTATTTGATCTATTAACTATTACTACCTATCACCATTATTGGTCTTTTTATAATAAGAGATGAATGTCCTGACTTTACAGGTAAAGAAATGTTCCAGAGAGTTAAGTACACTGATTCACTAATACTTTTTAAACACAGAATCTTGTGTCTTGACTGATCCTATCTCCTTTCAGACTAAAGTATTTTTAGATTGTAAATTAAGCTTCTGAAAAAATACTCATTTTAAAAAGTGTTACTAACCCTCTCATGCCATGGAACAAAGGTACAATTTTAAGACAAGTCTCTCTGAATTACCACAAATATAAAAAATTAATGAGAATTTAATATACCTCCCCATAAAAAATAAGATCTTGGTACTAAAAAACTTTTAGTTATTAATTTCTACCACCAGAAAATGTAAAATTTAAACAACGTAATTATCTCTCATGATGCTTTAGAATCTTGCTTTCAAAAAGCACTTGTTTCTATGAATTAGCTTATGAGACAGTTAACAGCATGAATCAAAGTTTGTCCTTAGTTCCTGAAGAGGTTTTCTAGATTAACATGGATTTTCTAGGATTTTATTCAACATTTATTGAACCCAGGTGTGTCTAAATATTAGAAACTGAATGATGAATCAGATACCACCTTTACCCTCAAGAAACTTCAGTGTATCAGATGGTAACAAATTAGCAAAATAGCATTTACAGCATAGTGTTTGCACATGGCGCTAAGAGAACAATAAAAGTGGGGACATCTACATAAGGCTAGGGAACCACTGAAGCATTTTTAAGGAGGGGAGTAAAATAATTTAGCTTTGGGTTTATTCATTCAATAAATATTTATTAAGCACTTAATATCTATTTGTTGAACACTATGTTCAATAATTTTAAAAAGATCCATGCTGGAAGTAAAGTGGGAGATGGTATTTTGGTGGTGGTGGTCAGAGACAAACTTTAGGTAGGGAAACCCAATTAAGAAGTAAATACATGGGTCAAGGTGAAGAATGATAAAGGAGATTGACTTGAGGTAGAAAGAGCAGCAGTGGAGATAAGGAGACTAATGTTTTGTGACACTAAGTTCATAAAACCCAAACACTTGCTATCTGATTGGATATATGGTTCCAAGTGTCTGACTGCAGAGAAGTAGATGTGAGAGCTAACCTTAGGAAAAAATATACCTAGCATGTCATAATGAAAGGATTTAGAATATCAAGGCTGAAAAGACAATTCTGTATGCCTACCTTGATGGGTTAGTGGTAGGCTGCTAGCATAACTTCTCTCAATATCTATCCTTAGGCTTCAAGCTACAGTGCTGACTTTAAAAAAAAAATTAAGCCAACTCATAAGTGTCTAACACAACACAACGGGCTTTCCCTGATTCCTAGATCCATATTTAGTGAGTAATAGGCTGGCCTGTTTCTCTCAACAGAATCTGCCTGCCAATGCAGGAGACACAGGCTCAATCTTTAGGCTGGAAAGATTCCCTGAAGAAGGAAAGGGCAACCCACTTCAGCATTCTTGCCTGGAAAATTCCATGGACAAAGGAGCCTGGCAGGCTACAGTCCACAGTGTGGCCAAGAGTCAGATACGACTAAGCAACTGAGTGCTCACACACAGGCTGGTATTCCAGATGAGAAGTACTGATTTTTAACTTGTTAGGCTAACATATGCAGAGTTTACACTAACATATAGCAAAAAAAACATATAAGTATAAAAAATAAAGATCTAACCTTATCCATGCTGAATAAGGCTTGGTACTGAGGGATGACAGCGTTACGTGGCTCAGTTAGTATTTGTACAAGTGTTTTCTCATCTAGGCTATGCAGAGGAACTACCACGGGCAACCGTCCCACAAACTCAGGAATCATGCCAAACTCAATGAGATCTCTGGCTTCCACATGACGTAATAAGCGATCTTTTTCTTCAATGTCTTGGTGAGTATTTGATTCTCCACTTCGATTGGCAAGGTCGGCAGCAGCTGCAGCCCTTCTACCTTTTCCCAGATTAGATGGTGTTCCAAATCCAAGATACTGCCAAAGAAAACACAGGTATTATAAATAACAGAATGACGCTGCATGGTGTTCAGCATGTTGCATGCATATCTCACGTGATCTTTGCAACAGAAGAAAGTATTATCATTTATATTTTACAATGAATAAAAAAGGCTTAAAGAGGTTAAGTACTTTGACCAAGCTCTCATTTCTGTTAGTGGTTAACAGCCAGGATTCAAACTTAGGTCTACCTGCCTTCAGAACTGAGAACCCAACCAATTCTCAGAAGAATGAATTCTAGTAAAAATAGGTAAGAGCTGTGAAGGGAAGTCCCTTAGAACTCAGATTATGACATTGAAGGACATTTCCCAGACCTCTAGACTAGTATAACTTCCAAAATGTGCAAGAAAGTAGAGATAGTAGTAATTATTTTGTAACCAAAGTCAATTCTGTAATACTCTAAACAGGAGTAGGGCCTATGGAACAAGCAGCCTTACAAGTAAATTATCCACAATTGTCTTTAAGTCATTGATAAGCATTCTATTAAAATCATGATTTGGGGTTGCATACTATCAGATTATATGATGAGTTAGAACACTGTATGAGTTAGATTTTTAAAAAAGAGCATGTAAGGATGACATCAAACAAAATGGTAACTTTGTTGCAAAAGGTTGTGTATCTAAGATGTATAAAGAACTATACTCCACGTAACTGTCATAAAGTTTGATTTTTATATGTCATACAACTTTTGTCAAAAGTACAAGAGAAGTACATGATATATGAGAAAACAGTCTAAGTTAAAAATTCATTCTAAATACTCTAAGCTGTGTATATAGACAGTGACTCTATCAGAAAGCAAAATACTTTGCATTCAATAATGTAAACATTAAAAAAGAATTTTTAGGATGTACTTTTTCTTTTTTAAAAAAATTATTTTTAATTGAAGGATAACTGCTTTACAGTATTCTGTTGGTTTCTACCAAAGATCAACATGATCAGTCATAGGTTTACCATGTCCCCTCCCACTTGAACATCCCTCCCACCTCTCCCCCCCCCCCCCCAGGTTTACCGAGCCCCAGAATGAGCTCCCTGAATCACAAAGCAAATTCCCACTGGCTACACACATGGTAATGTAAGCTTCCCTGTACGCTCTCCATACATCCCCCCTCCTTCCTCCCGCTCCAGCCATGTCCGTAAGTCTGTCCTCAGTTAGGTGTCTCCACTTCTGCTCTGCAGCTGTGCTGTTGCTCAGTCGCCAAGTCACATCCAAGTCTTTACAACCCCGTGGACTGCAGCACGCCAGGCTTCCCCGTCCCTCACCAGCTCCTGGAGTTTGCCCAAGTTCATGTCCATTGAATCAGCGATGGCATCCAACCATCTCATCCTCTGTCGCTCTTCTCCTTCTGCCTTCAATCTTTCCCAATGTCAGGGTCTTTTCCAATGAGTGTGCTGTTCGCATCACGTGGCCCAAATACTGGAGCTTCAGCTTCAGCATCAGTCCTTCTTCCAACAAATATTCAGGGTTGATTTCCTTTAGGATTGACTGGTTTAATCTTGTTGTCCAAGGGACTCTCAAGAGTCTTCTCCAACACAATTCGAAGGCATCAATTCATCCACTCAGCCTTCTTTACGGCCCAACTCCCACATCTGTACATGACTACTGAAAAAATCATAGCTTTGACTACACAGAACTTGTTGGCAAAGTGATGTTTCTGCTTTTTAATATCCTGTCTAGGTTGGTCATAGCTTTTCTTCCAAGGAGCAAGCATCCTTTAATTTTGTGGCTACAGTCACCATGTGCAGTGATTTTGGAGCCCAAGAAAATAAACTCTCTGTTTTCATTGTTTCCCCATCTATTTGCTATGAAGTGATGAGACCAGATGACATGATCTTAGTTTTTTTAATACTGAGTTTTAAGCCAGCTTTTTCACTCCCCTCCTTCACTCACATCAAGAGGTTCTTTAGTTCCTCTTCACTTTCAGCCATTAGAATGGTATCATCCAACATATCTGAAGTTATTAATATCTTGATTCCAGCTTGTTAACTCATCCAGCCTGGCATTTCGCATGATATGCTCTGCGTGTAAGTTAAATAAACAGGGTGACAATAAACAGCGTTGTCACACTTCTTTCTCAACCAGTCAGTTCTTCATACAAGGCTCTAACTGTTGCATACAGGTTTTTCAGGAGACAGGTAAGATGGTTCAGTATTTCCATCTCTTTAAGAGTTTTCCACAGTTTGTTATGATCCACACAGTCAAAGGCTTTAGTGTAGTCAATAAAACAGAGGTAAAAGTTTTTCTGGAATTCCCATGCTTTTATGATCCAGTGAATGCTGGCAATTTGACCTCTGGTTTCTCTGTCTTTCCTAAATCCAGCTTGAAGATCTAGAAGTTCTCAGTTCATGTAATGCTGCAGCCCAGCATGCAGGATTCTGAGCATGACCGTACTAGCACGGGAGATGTGTGCACCTGTCTGGCGGTTTACCATTCTTTAGCACTGCCCTTCTTGGGAACTGGGATGAGTGGCTGGCGGTTTACCGTTCTTTAGCACTGCCCTTCTTGGGAACTGGGATGAGTGGCTGGCGGTTTACCGTTCCTTAGCACCGCCCTTCTTGGGAACTGGGATGAGTGGCTGGCGGTTTACCGTTCCTTAGCACTGCCCTTCTTGGGAACTGGGATGAGTGGCTGGCGGTTTACCGTTCCTTAGCACTGCCCTTCTTGGGAACTGGGATGAGTGGCTGGCGGTTTACCGTTCCTTAGCACTGCCCTTCTTGGGAACTGGGATGAGTGGCTGGCGGTTTACCGTTCCTTAGCACTGCCCTTCTTGGGAACTGGGATGAGTGGCTGGCGGTTTACCGTTCCTTAGCACTGCCCTTCTTGGGAACTGGGATGAGTGGCTGGCGGTTTACCGTTCCTTAGCACTGCCCTTCTTGGGAACTGGGATGAGTGGCTGGCGGTTTACCGTTCCTTAGCACTGCCCTTCTTGGGAACTGGGATGAGTGGCTGGCGGTTTACCGTTCCTTAGCACTGCCCTTCTTGGGAACTGGGATGAGTGGCTGGCGGTTTACCGTTCCTTAGCACTGCCCTTCTTGGGAACTGGGATGAGTGGCTGGCGGTTTACCGTTCCTTAGCACTGCCCTTCTTGGGAACTGGGATGAGTGGCTGGCGGTTTACCGTTCCTTAGCACTGCCCTTCTTGGGAACTGGGATGAGTGGCTGGCGGTTTACCGTTCCTTAGCACTGCCCTTCTTGGGAACTGGGATGAGTGGCTGGCGGTTTACCGTTCCTTAGCACTGCCCTTCTTGGGAACTGGGATGAGTGGCTGGCGGTTTACCGTTCCTTAGCACTGCCCTTCTTGGGAACTGGGATGAGTGGCTGGCGGTTTACCGTTCCTTAGCACTGCCCTTCTTGGGAACTGGGATGAGTGGCTGGCGGTTTACCGTTCCTTAGCACTGCCCTTCTTGGGAACTGGGATGAGTGGCTGGCGGTTTACCGTTCCTTAGCACTGCCCTTCTTGGGAACTGGGATGAGTGGCTGGCGGTTTACCGTTCCTTAGCACTGCCCTTCTTGGGAACTGGGATGAGTGGCTGGCGGTTTACCGTTCCTTAGCACTGCCCTTCTTGGGAACTGGGATGAGTGGCTGGCGGTTTACCGTTCCTTAGCACTGCCCTTCTTGGGAACTGGGATGAGTGGCTGGCGGTTTACCGTTCCTTAGCACTGCCCTTCTTGGGAACTGGGATGAGTGGCTGGCGGTTTACCGTTCCTTAGCACTGCCCTTCTTGGGAACTGGGATGAGTGGCTGGCGGTTTACCGTTCCTTAGCACTGCCCTTCTTGGGNCAGTCAATCCTAAAGGAAATCAGTCCTGAATATTCATTGGAAGGACTGATGCTGAAGCTGAAACTCCAATACTTTGACCACCTGATGCGAAGAACTCACTCACTGGAAAAGACCCTGATGCTGGAAAAGATTGAAGGCAGGAGGAGAAGGGGACAACAGAGGATGGGATGGTTGGATGGTATCACTGGCTCAACGGACATGAGTTTGAGCAAGCTCTGGGAGTTGATGATCGACAGGGAAGCCTGGCGTGCTTCAGTCCATGGGGTCGTAAAGAGTCAGACACAACTGAGCAACTGAACTGAACATGTCCATCCCAAACTCCCTAACTATTCCTTACCCCCATCCTCCCCTCTGGTTCGTTCTCTAAGTCTGAGAACACATGAAGATATTAAAGCATCATAACTGCAATGAAGGACAACTGTGCAGGAAACTTTAGCAGTGGAAAGGAAGAAAAGAGGCATAATCTGGGAAGGGAGGGTAGGAAGTGACCAAGAAGGTCCTCACAAAGGAAGTGACTCATCACTTAACAGAATCTTAAAGAATGAACATGTATCTGGCCAACTGAACTGAGGCAGGGAAAACATGAGCAAAGGCAATAGGAGTAAAACTTAGGACTGCAAGCAATTTCATATGGTTAGGATGTAGGTTTATTACTTAATGCTGTAAGCTTGGCTTTCAATGAGGTTTGATAAAAACAATAGCCAAATGGAAGTGTTCAATCCTTCATAAAATCACTGTTAAAGACTCTCATATTCACTGTCTTCTTTTCATAGAAATCTATCCTTTAAAATCTTTGTCTCTCATGAGGAGATTATACCCTTCCTCTTTCAGGGAATGAAAACTAGCTCATGATTTCTCCCTAATTTCATTAAGAAGTTCAAAGATAAACAAAGTGAAAGTGAAAGTGAAGTCGCTCAGTCGTGTCCAACTCTTTGCGACCCCATGAACTGTAGCCTACCAGGTTCCTCCGTCCATGGGATTTTCCAGGCAAGAGTACTGGAGTGGGTTGCCATTTCCTTCTCCAGGAGATCTTACCGACCCAGGGATTGAACCTGGGTCAATCCCCCACATTGTAGGCAGACGCTTTACTCTCTGAGCCACCAGGGAAGTTCATAACAGTGACTTAATTTCCACTAAGTTGAAATGACATAAACCTTCCATCCGTTTCTGATCTCTTTACTAATGTTACTTTTAACTGTTCTTTTCCACATGTTTCTAGTTTCAATTTTATTTGCAAGTATGAATTATAAATAAATATAAGAATATGGTCCTTGCTTTTGGTTACAGAATTTCGAATATAAAGTTCTATCTCCCACCCTCCCCCATCTCTCTCATACCCACACATGTGCATGCACACACGAAGAAATAATTTCTTCTAATTTTTTTAGGCTAACTTGTGCAGAATTTCAAAAGCAAGAAAAACACAAATTGATTAATATGAAAAATAAAAATCTAACAGGGAAGCCTGGCATGCTGCAGTTCATGGGGTAGCAAAGAGTCGGACACGACTGAGCAACTGAACTGAACCTTATCCACGCTGAATAAGGTCTGATGCTGAGAGGTGACAGCCCTACACGGCTCAGCTGGTAGGCTTACAAGAGGTTTCTCATCTAGGCTATGCAAAGGAATGACGGCAGGCAACTGCTCCACCAGCAGGGCCATTTTTTTACTACTAAACTGCTACTTTAGTAGCTACTACCACCAAACTAAAAAACTCAAGTGAACTGCTATTAAACATGTAAGGCCAAGGAGACAGAGCAGGCAATACAGAAAAGAGGTGATCTATGAGACATTCATTTAGGTAGAACATATTATAGAAAAGGTATCATTTGTAGCTATTATGTAAAACACAAAAGCATGGAAAATAGGCATGTTTTGGGGCTTCTTGCCACTATGTTGATATTATGTTTTATCGTAAGTAGGTACTGGGCATGAACCTTGAGGATATGAAAAAATAAATTCCAGCTAAAATCAAGGCTTCTAAGAATGTTTAAGAAATATCTATAAATTAAGTGAGATCACAACCCTCCCTCAACCTCCAAACTACTTTCCTCCACTTGTGAATGTCAGCAGCGATCTATGAAGACTATATGGGCAGGGGCAATGAAGATAAGCTGTTTATTGTGTGCTCTAGTGAACTGGGAAAGAGAAATGAGTAGAAATTTTATTGATTTGGCAGTTACCTCAAATAATAAAAAAGCTCAGATGAATATACAATCAAAATCATCAAGTCACACTTTAAAAATGCCAATATAAAGATGATATTTAGAATTCTTCCAAATCACTACTCTGAAATTTAAAAAATAACTAGGAATATATTTCTGGTATACTCTAAGAAAAACCTAACTGGGAGAAAGCAGATATAAGATTAGAAACTGAGGGTCTATCCTCTAACTTTAAATGCTCTCCTAGTAACTATTCAGAAAAACTTACCTTTTCATTTTTTCTCCTGCTGATGATTCTGTCCAAACCATTGAAAGCACCAGACGCAACAAACAGAATGTTTGTTGTATCGACTTGTACCGTTTCTCCACGTAGCTTACGGGAATTCTTTTCTGGAACATTGACTATTGTGCCTTCCAATAGTTTTAATAAGCCCTAAATAAAGAAAAAATGATTTATGGCATCATTATATAAGTGTATTATTTATTATACTTTAGATAATGGGATTCAATGGGGAAAATAATATGTGGGTATGGTCAATGAGCACAACTGAAGAACACCTCCACATTTCTATAACTAACATGAAAATCTAATATACTATCATATTTAATTATTCATAAATTTATCTGGAATAGTGTAGGACTCCTGATGCATTCAGAAAACAATCAACCTGAGAGGTTGTTTTTGATGGTAAAGGCATAATTCTAACATAAAGACAGAATTAGGACTCTCTAAAATGCTATCCAACCACATAGGAACATTCAAAATTTGAATATATTTGAAGATTTGTCTTTCTACTAAAATTCTACTCTACTTTCAGTGTTAAACTTTGAGAATAGCTGTATTTTGAAATACCTTTATAAAAAAACATTACCTAGCACATTTTATATGTGTGATTGGACCTCTCTATGTCCTGGTCAAAAAACAAAAGCAATTTTCCTTACCCTGTAGTTTATGTCATAATTAGTTACCAGTAAAAAGTCAAGTTAATCAATAGATCATTATGACTTTAATTATGACTCTACAAGGAATAGAGCACTATTTTATCTTCTAACTAAGTGAAAAGAATAAAATACACGTACATAGTTCATTTATGCCTAGTTAGAATCAGAACTTTCTTCAAGTGTCCTTTAGAAATGTTTAACTGGGTCTTGGTGGAATAAGCCAACAAAAATTAAATTTCATTTACTTCTTTAAAATATCTTTAATTTCCTAACAAAGGTAATTAGGTATTTAAAATCGCCAACAGCTTTCTCTTAGGATCTGAACTAAATAGTCTGGGAAGCTTAGAGTGGGAGAAATAAAACAGAATCTAATTGAATGTGAAATCAAACGTACAATATTTGGGAGGTTGATGTATTCCCTTCCTTTTAGTGGGCTTGAACAAAATATTCAACTGCTTACTTGCTGAACGCCTTCTCCACCTACATCCCGTAACTGATGAATGCCTGGCACACTGCCAATCTTATCTACTTCATCCAGAAAGACAATTCCTATAATTTAAGGAGAATTCTATTTATAATATGAAAAAGACATACATAAGACAACCTAAGCTTTAAAAGCCCAGGTAGCTAGAGAGCAAGGTATTTAATCTTTAACACAATATATGCAATAGTTTAATACAATAAAAATATACTGCCAACTTTTCCACACATCATTTTGTGTAAACGTTTTATAATTTATTCTTACATCATTTGGGTAAAAATAACACTTGGGTAAGATTACCAATTCTCTATGACTATTATGGTTAGCTACCCACTAATGTTTTCAGTTTCTTTATTCCAAGAAGCAGAGACAGAGGTACAGCGTGAAAGCAAAAGGTGGATACAGGGCTGGTACTAGCTAAACTTCAGCTTATTTTTTCCATCTATATTCTTATCTTAAAGATTTTGGACAGGAAGCTGTCAAGCTCTCCATGTAAACAAGGAGAGATGATAGAGAGGGAAGGAGAAAGGTAGCATCTATGACACTTCCTAGGCAGACAAGTTAATATGTTTCCGTATACATCTTGCACTCTGTTGCACTTATCTTTCCCCCCTCCCCCAACCCATTTCAGCATTAGGAGTCTGGAGGAAAGTTAGAACAGAATGGAATAAATAATTTGGCCTGTTTTCACTGTAGTAGTATTGCCACCTTATGACAATAAGACAAAGCAAACTTTGTGGCCCTCAGTACGCTAGAAAACTTAAACACAGCTACTTTTATATAGTTACTGAATTTTACTCCTTGACTCAAAACAAAAAATATATTATCTCTTGCTATTAGACTGATTCCTCAACAGACTGTGTCTGAGGGCAGACAAACTTGCTGAAACATACCTTGTTGTGCTTTTTCTACATTATAATTGGCATCCTGGAGCAACTTGGCAATCACAGACTCAATATCTTCACCGACATATCCAGCCTGAGTCAAAGTGGTGCAGTCACAGATAGCAAAAGGGACATCAAGGCATTTAGCTAGAGTCTGTGCCAGAAGAGTTTTACCTGTGAACAGAAGCAGTAACAACGGGCCTCAGGTTTGCTTCTTAAGAGTGAGAACCCCCAGTCAGAAGACACTGGCTACATTTATATTCTATTCTCTTAAGTGAGTGGTAAATTTTTAAGTAAGTTATCTACCTGACCCAGTTGGTCCAAGCAGCAAAATATTACTCTTTTCAAGTTTGATGTCATCATGGGAAGAATCCAATACTTCACCTCCTCGTTTCTCCTGAGGTATTTGTTGATTTACCTGTTGCTGCACTGATGCTCCTAAAGCATTACCATGTGGACTGATTCCAGCAATTTGAAGCAACTCTGAAAAAATGCCAAAGGTATCAGAGCTTCATTTGCTTTCACTTGAAAAAATGCCCAATAAAACCTTACATCTAAAACCAATTACTTATTCAGAAAAAAATAAATATTCTGACATTTTCTTACCTAAAAGAGAAGGAAGCCTCAAATTATCTAATGACAAATGTGTAATACATGATGATTATTCACAGAACCTCAAGCAAAGGAAATGTATTCTTTTTACGTTCCTTACTTATATAAACTGTATGAAGAATATCCTTTTACTGAAAAGAAGGCAGTATCACAGAAGGAGAACAGTGTCAGGAGTCAGAAAGCTTCAGAAATTTGGTCCTTTCTTTGCCTCTGAATAGCTATATGATCCTGAGCTATATCATCATACACACTTTGTGTTTCTGTGCCCTAATCTATAAAATGGCTAACACCTGCCTATCAATTTTAAACACATGACTGGAGGTTTAAGAACAAAATGCAACTGATTTGGAGGCACTCTGAAAGACAAAAGTATATGTACATATATTTGTACAAATGAAAAGAAACAGTGTCATAGAGGAAGGGTAAAAAACATTGCACTGAGAAACAGAAAGCTTGGGTTCTAGTCTCAGCTCTATCATAGGAACAAGGCAAGTCACTTGGCCTTACTGAGCCTGCTTCCTTAGTGAAATGCTCTACAACCTCTTCCACACTTAAAAATGCTGCTGTGAGTCTACCAGAGACACCAAGTACAGTAAGACTCATTATCCCTGGTCCTGCCTGAATTTCTGATTTTACAGGATCTCAACTGGATCACTGCCTTTCCTTTATCAGACTTACAATGTTAATTATACGGGAATTATAGTGCTGGTGAACCAAGAGTTTATCAGCTGGATCCCTTTTTTAAAAAATCTTATTCTAACCCTCTCAGCTGAAGGAAAGAATCCCAATACTCTTTTCAACTAGCTAGATTTGTAAATATCCACATTTCCTGGCTCTCAGCATTTAAAGTACCTGGGCTGGTATCATATGTCTATATTTTCTAGATTTAGTTGTAACTTGTTTCTGAGAATATCAGTATTTTCCAATACTTTATTATTTTAAGCAAACCAACAGACAAATGTTCAGCAAACATACTACTGAAATCCTGTTCCATCTGGCTGTCATTTTCAAACTATCTTTGGGTCACATCCTTTGGTAAAGGGTTATTCTCTTCACCAAAAATAGGCANTATTCAACTTTATGATTTAAGTTTTTTAAAAATGAGTAATAGTTTAAATAGTACAGAACAAATGATGTTTGTCATTCCATTTATGAAAATATGCCCCAGGGTAAACTTGAGAAAACACTCCTGTTCTTTCAGCTAAGTCTCTGTTCATGCACATCTCCTACTGCCTAAGCAGCTCTTTATAATGAGGACTATGAAGTAAGCAGGCTAGAATAGTTAGTTGTATGGAGCAATAGGGCCCTGGGCAAAATTTAAAATTTCTGTGCTTCAACTTTCTTATATGTAAAATGGTGGTGAAAATAATCGTTTCTGTCTAATAGGCTTGGGAAGATGAAATGAGTATATATGTGTAAAGTGCTTAAAACAGTGCCTGGCAGATAGTTTTACATGTGCTTTGGAAGAATTTACTTTTAGTATTACTATTTTCCTAGTGTGTAAGTATCTGTATAACATAGCCCTTATATGCAAGCCAACTAGTTCATCTGGTATTTAACATCAGAAAAATTTATGTTCCAATGATGAGGGGAAGAAACCATCAGTCTTAAAATGTTAAAGAGACACATAGTGATCTCTAATATGTGATTTCGAAAGGAATTTCCAAGAATATTTTAACTATATATGACTTTGGCCCAATATCCTAACATTAGAACCTAATACCCCACATAGGAGAAGACTAAATTATATATGAAAGTAACTTCTACATAAGCTCTAAAAATATTAATTTCTAAGTCAATCAATACATGTAATTACAAATTATTTTGCTTACGTCCTTAAATACTATTACTTGTTAACATTTGTATTAAATCACTATGATAGACTTTACTAATTCATACTAGTTTCACCAGCCACCTGCCCAAAATTATGAATATATAATGACAGCATATTTTATTACATGTAATAAATCTCATGCCAGAGTTGCTGAACTCATTATGTTCTCATGGCTCATCCTGAATATACAGTACAATATTCTGATGCTCAAATATTAGATGTATAATACTGTTTGGTTCAAAGGCAAATGTAAACTTATCAAACTTTTAAGCGGAAAATGTTCACACGGGTTTATCTATTTTGTCTTTTGTGACAACATGAATCTTTTTATGGTAACTTTGGAACCTTCACCCTTTCTTTGTGTAGCAGCTATCTCCACCTCCAAAGAAATGAGTGTAAGACATCAGAATGGCCACTATCACTGGTGTATCAGGTCATTCCGTACCATCCATCAGACCACCTGATGCTTTTAGGGGCAGTCTAGAGCTCTCAATAGTGAGCTGGAGGTTATGCATAATTTGTAAGCCTACACTAAGTTTCATAAACACCAAAAAATAAACAATGTAGTTTCTGGCCATGAGTAGCCGAAAGATAATATACCTTCCTTAAAATCTGTCACTTACAGGCAGATTAACTCAAAATTGTTTCTTTTTTTTTTTTTTAAGGAAAAAAAGGATATAACATTCAAGGTACAAATTTTTAAAAACACAACTTTTGTTAATATGCAGATCTAGATTTATAGAGAAAAACTACATACAATGCTTATTTCTTTACATTATAAGAAATATCACAATAGAAAAGATAAAATCAAATATCTAAAACAACCCAACATCTATTAACTACACAAATTAGCTATGAAACTGTTCCAAAGTTATATATGCCATGTATAACAGACAAGTTTAGATAATATACAATGCCTTTCTTAGTAATACACAAACAAGTACATATCTACCACAACTAGTGCTGACAAACTCCACTGAGGTAAATCTAAAAAGGAAGAATGATTACAGAGGAGGACCTGAAGAGCGGTCACTTACTTGTAAATCTGTACTCATCCTCCCGTCTTCTTATTTCTAACTCTAAGAAAGAGGATGAAAATGGCAACATGAAAATATTATATATTTGCTTAATTTAGGGGAACAAACAAGGAGTATTCCACTTCTTGCCCTCTTCCAAATATAAAGAATATGTTCATTAATGTTTTTTCAGCTTTCTATAAATTATGAAAGAATTTATATGCTACCTCTTTTCTGTATTAAAAAAAAAACCCAAACATGCTTAATGATGGCTGTATAGTTGCCAATATTCACATCTGTCAAATACAAAGTTGCTATTTATTTTACGAAAAGAAATGTAGTAATTTAGGTCTTCAATAAGAATTTAAATCCTTCATATTATAAAGACCATATAACCATTTGCTTTTGCAGCACCTAGAAGAGCTTAACTATTAATTTGTTGACTGAAGGAATCAGAAAAATTATTTTGCTCCATGACCAAACAACAATATTTGGACCTTATAAGTCATTAACGTTCCAGGTCCTTCATCAGTTACTATACTTTATACTTGCTAAAAAAGTAATTGATCCTACTATGTAAATACTTCGCAGTAAGTTCAAGCAGTGAACAAGTGTCTTCATTAAGGCAGTAAATTATAATATTAGTACCTACTAAAAGTAATGTAATACTAAAAGTACTTAGCAAAACTCCATAAAATTATAACATAGCTAAAAGAATGTAAACAATAGATATCTGTAGGACAACTCCAAAATTACAGCTCCCTAGCAGCAGCCAAAAAAAAAAACCACCCTTATTTACATTTTACTGTATTCACAGTTTTTTAAATAAAATCATTCTGTTAATATAACATATACATGTCCATAGTAAGTTGCCATTACACAGTACATTGGTGCATTAGAATCTATCATTAATAGGAACTATACTTTGAATCACTTACAAATTTGCCCTGAACCTTGCACTGTGTAGCTGAGGCCAAAAGAGAAAGAGGGCTGAATATGTTCTATAAGAGGTACCATTTCCATATATCTCTGACTTAGGAAAATTAAGTTCTGTGTCCTGAACCCCAAAGAGAAGAACTCAAGAGTTGTATACAGAACACTGCGATGATCTAGTCAACAAGAACTACCTGTGGTCAAGTCTACAACTCAAAAATGATGTCTCAATTTGTATACGAGAACCCAAGCACATATACCCAAAAAAAAAGTTTTAAGAAATAATACTTAACAAGTTAACAGACTCTGGTATTTTCTACTCACACTTATTAACTCTCTTTTTTAAATGCTGTTGGAAATGAACTGTAATGATTTCATGAACCACTAATGNTTCCATGTCCAGTTCTAACTGTTGCTTCTTGACCTGCATACAGATTTCTCAGGAGGCAGGTAAGGTGGTCTGGTATTCCTATCTCTTTAAGAATTTTTAAGAATAAAACTTTTAAGAATAAAATAGGCATTATATACTCAAAAATCATTATACCACCAGTATCAATGTGCTTTAATACTCACAAACATTTAGCTTTTTCTCAGATATTAACTTTAAAGCTATGCATTTATCTAAATGGCAATCTAAAACTTTTATTCTTGGTAGAAACTAAAGCTCTATATGAAATTTGGTTATTGCCAATGGCTTAGTACCTAGGGTAAATTCTTTCAGCTTTTAGTTAACAGAAGTTAACTGCTAATATTCACCAACTCCTCAAGAGAGTTATTTTCTAGAACTTTATTCTCTAGAACTCTGACTCAGATTCTGAAGTCTATACAAATTAGTGAGGAACACAAAGCTTAACAGCTATATTTTCCCCCATTATTTTTACATAACAAATTCTGTAATGGTTGACCATATATATGTTGCTATGGTTTTTAAAAATCATCATTCCTCATGAATTACACCCATGATTTAGCACATTTGCAGAAACAAATGCACTGGTATCTAAAAAGTCAAAGAAAGCAGAGGGTGAGAAATAACAAGTGTGCAAATACCACCTGAAACGTGGCCAGAGATAACACAGCCCAGGAGCAGGGCTCCTCCTCCCCAGAAAGCACACAC